AGATTTTTTCTCTACATTGTAACTGAATTCAATTCCAGACGCTTGTTGGATTTTCCCTTCTCTTTTATTTCGTTTAATTCTTCTTCTAGTTGGAGTTTTCAGTTTCGTTTAATTTTCGAAGTGTTTCTGCAAAAAGAAACTCTAATTTAACTGTTTATTCTTCATTTTCTTGACATAGATGCATTTCTCTCTCCTGCAATCTCATTAAACTTTGTGATTTTTAATTTTCTTTTCCTTTCTCTCTCCTTTTTCTACTGAGAACACAGGAGGAAATCTTTGAATGTCTCTCTCTCTCTCTCTCTCTCTCTCTCTGTGTTTCTGTGTGTGTGTATGTCCATTGGTATAATTACAATTTCAAAAGCTTGTCTGAAAAGGGCATTCAAAGCTTCAATATATTCGAAAAATTGATGAAATTCCATTTATTCCTCAGTAGCTACAACCTAAATTCTCATGTTAACTTAATACAGTACAATTTAAGTACATTAGTTTTTGTTTGGTAAAGTGGTGAACTTCTTGTTCCTTCTTTTCTATCAAGAATTGTCTCAGTTGAGACTTTTTGAGAAGAATTTCTTGGTAATGATGGAACTTGTAATAATGTTTCATTAAAAATTGTATTTGAAGTGCAATAATTCCATTTTAACTTTTAAGATAGGATCCAATGGTAAACTCTCATTTCTTTTTTTATTTTTTTTATTTATTATTTGCTATGTTTGACTAAAATTTCTTATGATCTGCATGGGGGCCATGTTGGGATTTTTCTGTTCGTCCTAACTTTGAAATAGTTGTACATGGAATGATTAAGGGCCAGTTTATTCTATTGCAAAATATGTAATACTTCAAATTAGCTATTGGGTTCATTATGGTACTGATAAATTTGACAACTTTTGTATGTTTATGTTCATGAATTTATGTTTACACAAGTTTTTGTTCAAAAGTGTGTTGTGTGTCTGCTGGTGTTTTTCTTGATTCAATTCTCAATTTCTGAAGAATTTTGGTGGTGTTGTTGTTGTAGTTCTTCTTCTTCTTCTTCTCTCTCTCTGTCTCTCTGTGTTGTGTGTGTGTGNTCTCTTCCAAGAGTAAATATTGCAAGTAACGATGACGCTATATCATCATTAACACGTGTTATCACAATTTAATAATAAATTTACACATAAGTGATATGAACTTCATTTAAATTATTATTAAATATCATGATACAATGATTACCATAATATGTGATATTCACCTGTATATTTGTTATATTTTTATTAGATAATAATATTACATAGTAATGATTTCGTTGTATCACCCTTATATTTTTTTCTCTTCCACGAAGGTATAGTTAAGGAAAATCCAACATGATTTTAGTCCTTGATCTTATGACGGAGAGAGAGAGAGAGAGAGTTTTATGGTAAGAGACAAGGGCTCCGAAAGAGTGGAAGGCAATTCCAATAGATTTTTAAATTTCTCAACAGAGGGAGAGAGAAATGGACTTGCAAGTTTTTTTTTTCTAATTGTAAGGTTTTGTGGATTCCATATATCTTAAGTTTTTCTATGATGGGATTGGTTATTCTGGAAGTTTGTGAAAAAGCCACCACACTCTCTCTTGTCTTATATTGACATCTTTGTTCTATAAAAGACTCACTACCCACCTCTCCAAACCTCCCCCCACATTTGCTCTTTTTCTCACAAGAACTTGAGAGAGAGGGAGAGAAAGATATGGAGGAAATGGCTTCCCTATGGAGCTATCAAGAGGTGGGTCACCAGTCATTTCTGGTTTTCTCAGTCTTTTCGGTTCATTTCTTCTTGGTACTGTTCATTTATTTGGTTTTGGCATTAATTGAAGCCTTTTCATTGTAGATTTTTTCTCTACATTGTAACTGAATTCAATTCCAGACGCTTGTTGGATTTTCCCTTCTCTTTTATTTCGTTTAATTCTTCTTCTAGTTGGAGTTTTCAGTTTCGTTTAATTTTCGAAGTGTTTCTGCAAAAAGAAACTCTAATTTAACTGTTTATTCTTCATTTTCTTGACATAGATGCATTTCTCTCTCCTGCAATCTCATTAAACTTTGTGATTTTTAATTTTCTTTTCCTTTCTCTCTCCTTTTTCTACTGAGAACACAGGAGGAAATCTTTGAATGTCTCTCTCTCTCTCTCTCTCTCTCTCTCTGTGTTTCTGTGTGTGTGTATGTCCATTGGTATAATTACAATTTCAAAAGCTTGTCTGAAAAGGGCATTCAAAGCTTCAATATATTCGAAAAATTGATGAAATTCCATTTATTCCTCAGTAGCTACAACCTAAATTCTCATGTTAACTTAATACAGTACAATTTAAGTACATTAGTTTTTGTTTGGTAAAGTGGTGAACTTCTTGTTCCTTCTTTTCTATCAAGAATTGTCTCAGTTGAGACTTTTTGAGAAGAATTTCTTGGTAATGATGGAACTTGTAATAATGTTTCATTAAAAATTGTATTTGAAGTGCAATAATTCCATTTTAACTTTTAAGATAGGATCCAATGGTAAACTCTCATTTCTTTTTTTATTTTTTTTATTTATTATTTGCTATGTTTGACTAAAATTTCTTATGATCTGCATGGGGGCCATGTTGGGATTTTTCTGTTCGTCCTAACTTTGAAATAGTTGTACATGGAATGATTAAGGGCCAGTTTATTCTATTGCAAAATATGTAATACTTCAAATTAGCTATTGGGTTCATTATGGTACTGATAAATTTGACAACTTTTGTATGTTTATGTTCATGAATTTATGTTTACACAAGTTTTTGTTCAAAAGTGTGTTGTGTGTCTGCTGGTGTTTTTCTTGATTCAATTCTCAATTTCTGAAGAATTTTGGTGGTGTTGTTGTTGTAGTTCTTCTTCTTCTTCTTCTCTCTCTCTGTCTCTCTGTGTTGTGTGTGTGTGTGTTCCTCTTACTGATCATTGACTTTTTTTGGAATGGCAGAGCATTGATGAATTGAAACAGAAGCTTTTGTACACTATTGTTGAGCTTGAGTCAGTAAGAGTGGAAGCAAATGAGGAACTGAGAAAGAACAAAGAATATGTGAAGCAATTACTCCAACTCCTGAAGATTGCTTACCAGGAAAGAGATGAAGCAAGAGATCAGCTTCAAAAACTGCTCAACAAGCTCATTCCACCAACTACTCCAACTGAATTCTTTACAACTGTTCCTCAACTCCAGCCCGAGAGACCCCTCGTAAAACCCACAAAAGCAAACTCAAGCATAACTGAATCTAACAGTCTCTCCGACACATACAATTACCGGTCACATGGTTCATCCCCGGTTAACTCCCTTTTTGATGCTGTTTCATCCCCTGAACTCTCAAACATCAACATGGGTGATTCAAGTAACGTTGCATTTGTGAACCAGCCCTTGGTTCAGGACTACAATGGCAACTTATCAACCGGTCTGGTCTCATTAGGAACACCAAAAATTGATCAAGCTTCTATAGTAATCGAAAATCTTGCTGAGGGAAAAAATCTACCTCAGAAAGGAAAGCTCTTGCAGGCTGTGCTTGAAGCAGGGCCACTTCTTCAGACACTTCTTGTTGCCGGGCCACTTCCCAGGTGGCGTAACCCACCCCCTCTTCAACCCTTCCATATTCCACCTGTTACAATCAAAGGCTGTGATGCTGAAATTGTCACTCACAAACCAGTTGCAGACTCAAACCATGTTGTCTCAAGACCATTGAATTCACAATCTTATGTTGAGATGTCTTGTGGTTCTTCCCAAATGCTGTCGACACCCATGTTGAATTTTTCTAATGGATCTTCTGGATTGCACCTGGGCAGTGGGAGATTGATACCTGCAGGAGCTAATATTCACAGTTATATCCCAACCGGCAAACGACAGAGATTCCAATGAGATCATGAAGTCTATCCTCCTTCATTTTTGTATAAAACAGATTTTGGGTGGTGGTTGGTGTAAATGGGATATTCTGTTTTGAGTTTGAATTCCATAGCTACTTAACTTTATTACAATTTCAAGTCTTTTTGCAATTGTTATGGTATGGGTCTCCAATTTTATGTTTTGGTCATGATTAGCAAAGATAACATTAGGTTTCATAGATCTTGTTTTTCTCCCCAGTAAACACTAATGTTGCTAGAAAGAAAGAAAAAGAAAAAAAGTGGCAACAGGTCTTAATCTTTGAACAAAACAGAGATTGAGGCTTAAACCTAAAAAATGCTTTTGCTTTTTGACTCATGACATTTTAGGCTTGTAAGTGCATCACAACCATGGTGATGCTTGAGAGTAACTTTCGGAAAATTGTGGTTCGTGTGTAAAAGCTCTTTCTGTCATGATCAACACGAAAGACAAGCATTCTTGAGTTGAAATGCACTTGGTTTTGAAAATTAATTTCCTGGTTCAGATTCTCCAAAGCTGAACATTTCATCCTCCCGATGATGGATGATTAAAAGCACGCTACGATTTTAACTTCTGCTCTATTTCTACTGTGACACCATATATGCAAAGCACTCTCTTCTTGCAGAAAGAAAAATAGATAGATGCAGGTTAGGGATATACAGACTCGTCCATTGTGCAGTTACTAGGTGACGCAGCATCTTGATGATCAGACAGTAGATGACAAAGAAAAGGATCAGGAAAAGTTAACAGCTTGATTTGTGGGGATGTCAAAGGAAGAGTTCTATGGACATCAAATGTTAACTAATAAAAAACCAGAAGTTGCATACGAAATCAATCTTTGTCATCCAAAATTATTAAAGAACAGATCAGAAGATTTAGATTGAATATCAGCAACATATTTGGCAGTTTCATGAAAAAGGCCATCATTAATTTTATCACCAATCCTTAATGACCATACTTGTTCCTGTTAATTGGATTTGATCGTCACCATCAACTTCAGAGTCTGGACAAAAATTAGGGGCTCTAGTATAACAGTGTTCAAGAAATACCTGTCTTCAACATATCCATGAAGCAGATTTGTTCAAAGCATTCTGAACCTATAAGTTGGCATTTTATCCTATCAACAACTTCAACACATCATGCCTCCAAGTCCAGCCACATCCCCAGAGTTCCAGCCTTCACATTGGGCTCCATTGGTGATTTCGTTGGTGGGTGTTGTTTGTACCATCTTTTTGCTGTTCTGTTACTATAGGATGCTAAAAGGCCAGTGTTGTGTTTCTCGTGTGATGATTTCCAGGAGTGGAGATCAAAGGCGCCATCTAAATGGAGACAACACTGATGATCCTTCTCTACAATTCCAAAGCCACGGGCTGGACTCCTATATTATACACTCGCTTCCCATCACCCAATTCAAGAAGAAGAATGCAGAAGAGTTGTGTCAAAGCAATACAGATTGTGCCATTTGTTTGGGTGAATTTGATGAAAGTGAATGGATAAAACATTTACCAAATTGTTCTCACGTCTTCCATGTTTCCTGCATCGACACTTGGTTTCAGACTCATTCAAGTTGCCCACTCTGCAGATCACACATTTATGATCTTAAAATACACCATGAGTGCTCCATTTCTATGTACACTTTGCTAGAAACTCTTGAGGAAAGATTTCTATCAAGAAATATCAGCACATTACCAAGTTCTCAGCTACCATCTCCTATAGAATTCTCCACCTGGACCAGACCAGAAAATGCCAATTGATTTGCTTCATCCAATGCAATAACAATCAACCATCATATTACCAGTGATCCAGAGAAAACAGTGTTCTGCAGCAGGAATTCAGGAAACCAGCATTAAATCAGTAAAGTTGATCACATTCCTTTGGAAGCAATGCAGGAACGACATAATATTCCAAATGGAAGGTTGATTTCTCAGACCAAAGTAGAATTTAAATCATTTCTTAGAAAAGCTCACCGTTAAGGGAAAACTGTTGGGGAAGTCCTGGAGCCTAGCAGGTCCAGTGGTAGAAAAAAATTTGCTGATTTGCTGTTACTATAAAAGCTCTTAATTTCTCCCAAAACTTCAATAATAAGAAAAAATTTAGCAGAATTATAAGTTGTTCTCCTCGTGACAATGTGAGTAGATTTGATTTATAAGGCCGGTATGCCATTGGGACATGAAATGTTTTCTTTGGGGAAGTAAGAAATAGGAATGTATACACTCCAATTTCCATATAGTTCCAGACACAAGGCAGTCATTGCATAAAGCACATTTACGCACAATCACAAGGATTTTGAAGCTAATGTCATAGTAAATTATATGCCATTGTTGTTAGTCACCTAGGAAATGAGAAAAAGAAATTGCATTATTCTTGAAGTTGTGTAAAACTTTGAACATACAATGAACTTGTTCCTAGAGATAAAAACTTGTCCCCCAGTTTTCTCACCCACACAATATGTTGCAAATCCCTATAGTCAATCGGAGTTTTAGATCGCCATTCAAAGCTAGGGAATCAGGATGCCAAAGCCAAAGTCTACGAGAAATGAGAGGGGTGGTAAGCTAAAAAAGGTGTTCAGACTCTATGTTCTCAACAGTTTCCCATTCAATTTTTATTGTTCTGATATATTCAGGATGGTGAAATGACGCATTTTCCATTTGTTCCCATGAAAAACAAAATACGAATAGGTAAATTGTAGATGAAAGACAAAGTTGCTCATCGACTGTAAGGTCAACCAGATATGATGTTAAATAGTGGATACAGAACATGAGCTGAATGTAGCTGGTGAATCTTCCATCATTCTTTTTTAGGTGGGTGGGAATCTTCCATCATTTAAGTACCCAGGAAATGATAAACTTTCCCAAGCACCAAACAGAACCAGAACTAGAGACTGGAATGATATCTAGCCAAATTATACGCAACTAATATTGCTGCTGGCTCTACATGTAGCTATACAAAATTGAAAAATTAAAATACTGTTAAATTAGAATGTTGCACAAAACAAGTGATGTTTATGGGAACTGTTAAAGTAGAATGTTGGGTCATGATGCTACATATCTAAACATCTAAATGATAGCTTCGAAGAAATGCTCGCCAAGCTGTTCATTTTAATGCTTGATAACTCGGTTCAGTACGTCTAGTTTGGCACCATGAATCTTTTTTGTTCATGACACCAATGAGGACCCAATGTCTTGCCATCAATCTCCCTGGCGACCGTGGCCGCCCATGTTGGAAGGGATGTTGCATAATGCATCCTTGAGATTGCAGCCTCATGAGACAATTTAGATGGACGATATGGATTTTTTCGAGATGGTTAACCACTTTTTTAACCGAGAGAGGGAGGTCATTCAGAACCAACTGGCTCCAGAAAGGGGGCTGCCTCCAGAGGCGCTGCCTGAATTAGTAGGTGTTCCTAACAAGCAGGATTCTAGTGACTATATGAGCTGATTTTTGGCACAGCAGCTATGTTTGAGCCTATCAGAAGCAGCTGCTCATCAGCATTGTTGATGGTGGCCTATCATTTCAGTTCAACTATGCGTGAGGAGAGATCTTTGCTATCTTAGTCACAACAACAACCCGATATGCACTTCAGGCCAGAAGACCATTGCAAGTCCGAGCCTACAGGCCGATACTTGACAAGCCTCCTTATTATTCCATAATGCCAACACCAATATAGCCATCACCCCTTTCATGACTGATACCTTCAAATCTGAGGAGAACAACCTTCCACTAGTCTTCTCATTTCCGTCCAGAGTTTAATACTCTATCTGCTGAAGAATGTTTCTCTATCATCCCACTCAGTCTAAACATGTTCTCCAGGTTAGATCCTCACTTTTTATCTATAAGAGAATCCTTCTTTGGGGAAAATGTAATCCAAAGGGAAAAGAACAGCCAATCCACTTAGAGAATTCTCTCAAATCAAGTAGGAAGCCATATAAAGCAAAGATTGACGGCAGAAACTGTTATTTGGTGCGATCTTTATGATGGTGAACAAGATCTCTCTTGGCCATTTGACAAACCTGTAGTGTTATTATGAAACACCTGAGACATATATTCTCATGAACTGTCATTGTAGATTCCTCTTCGTAAGAAAAAACATCAATCAAATACATGAAATGCTCCACCCTAAATAAATTTAGTTATGGAAAAAATGTTACCTAAATTTCAAAATAAGAGCATTATGTGCGCACCTTTAGACATTACAGCCATGATTCATCGTTGGCATTATCCCCAGTTTTCTTGAATGCCAGCATGAGTCCTGCACTCCGCCGGTTGGCTAGTACTGCAGGCACTGAAAGCATGGAAGATGTTAAAGCCACTTAATCGATTTCATAATTGTTTTGATGTTTGTTATGGTTTTTGCTAGGCTGATATTGAAAATGTTTTTCTTTTTTTTCGTTGAAAGACAAATACAGGCCAGCTTCGTGCACTTAGACTTTTACAATGCAATGTATCTATCAATTCATGCAAATTGTCACATGAGACAGCCATCTCATTTCAGTATTGGTTGGCGAAAAAACAACCTTACAGTGCAAATGGGACACATATCATTGATATGTTGACAATAGGAGAAAAACCAACTCATGAGCATAGTAAGATACAGGTCATATTACTCTCGGCAAAACCAGCAGAAGCTGTAACAGTACTTCCATTTATCATTTTCTGAGCCTTTACAATTTTTATCTAACAACTTGAAGAATATACAGCAAGATGTATACACTAATGTAACAAAGGAAACCTATAACACCAGAGACAAAAGAAATATCTCTAAAACAACAAAATAGCAAGAGAAATAAACAGTCAAACTCCGAAAGTATGCCCGAACCACAAAGAATGCCTGCTTCTGAAATAAATTTCAGGTCTCAATTGCTCCAATGACCCCCATGATATCCTTATATACACAACCTGACCTGCCAAACCTCAATTTCAATGTTGCCTACCTCCAGCATGAAGCTCAAAAACTGGTACCTTCTTGAATCCTCCCACTCTTAAACTCTCTCAAAAGGGTAGCGATATCCAACTCCAATAAGGTTTTATGTTCCAGCAGTCAGAAATGTCAACTGTCAAACCAACCCCAATTTATATCAACCAAGCCACTGCTGGCTCAAACCTTTTGCAAAGTGAGGTCGCATTAACTTGACATACAAACCATTCATTGCTACAAGAGAATCATGAGTACCGTCCTCCACAATTTGGCCACCATTAATGACCACAATTTTGTCAACATGCCTCATCATTGACACTCGATGTGCAATGAGAATAGTGGTTTTGTTTCCCATAATCAGCGTGTCAAGAGCCTCTTGTACCACCCGGCTTGACTCAGACTCAAGTGCAGAGCTGGCCTCATCTAATAATAAAATGGGTGCATTCTTCAGCACCACCCGAGCAATCGCAATTCTTTGTTTCTGCCCTGGTGTTAAACACATTCCCCTTATGCCCACATGAGTGTCATAACCATGAGGCAAGCTGCTAATGAAATGGTGAGCATTTGCTATTCTTGCTGCCTCTTTCATCTCAGCTTCAGTTGCGTTATGTCTTGCATATAGGATGTTCTCTCTTACAGTTGTTGAGAAGATTATGGGATCCTGCTGGACAAGACCAAGGTGATTCCTCAACCACCTCAAATTGAACAGCTGAAGATCCCTTCCATCCAGTAAAATTTGACCAGCAACTGGATCATAAAATCTCTCTAGCAAAGAAATTATGGTACTCTTTCCAGAACCTGAAACTCCCACAATGGCAACGGTTTGTCCTCCATTGACTTTAAGACTGAAATTGCTCAACACCAGCACCGATGGATTGGTTGGATAACAAAAATCAACATTTCTGAACTCAATACTTCCATAGACATTAGGGGGTTTTAGTGCAGAGCTATCATCTGGATCAATCTTTGGTACACGATCAATTATTTCAAAAACAGAAATGAGAGACTCCCGCCGTTTGAGAATGTAAGGGGCAAGGCCAAATGGTTCTACCAGAGCAAAGGTTGCAAAAGAGAAGACCATGTATTCCTTGAGAGCATTGGGTAGATCAATATCTCCATTTTTAACAGAAATAGCAGTATACCAAAGTAATAGAGCATTACAGGCGAAGAGAAGGAACTGCGAAAAGCCAAATGCAAAACCAATGGCCATTCCATGGAAGAAGCTTTGCTTATATATTTCTCTGAGCTGCAATTCATAAAGTGCCATTACCTTGTTTCCGGCACAGAATGCCACCACAGTGTAAATGCTCTTTACTGCATCCTCAAGGACCAAAGATGCCTTCCTGTGCAGCTCTTGTATGCCCCTTGAAAACCCAGAAAGCCACATTTTCTGCAATTAAAAGATTAAATTTGTTTTGGAATTGAATTGATTGGGGGCAACTCAAAGGCATGTAACGATAGTATCAACAACTGACTGATGTAAAAGCTTTAGCAATTAAATAAGGACATAAAAATAAATTTCAACAACCCCTGGCCTCCCTCTAGCTGGCCTCCCACATGACCACTTTCCCCTCAGCCTCTTGTGGTCGCCAACCACGTGAAAACATTACACATCAGCAAAAATCAAAAAGTGGAGATACTAAGNAATAAATTTCAACAACCCCTGGCCTCCCTCTAGCTGGCCTCCCACATGACCACTTTCCCCTCAGCTTCTTGTGGTCATAGATGGGCCAACCACGTGAAAACATTACACATCAGCAAAAATCAAAAAGTGGAGATACTAAGATGATTAAAGATATATCACTTTCCGAAAGAAAAACATTAAGAGATATCAAAGAATTATCAGTTTGGATATTTAAAAGTGAATACTAAAGATAATGTTAATAACAGAACTAAAGCAATATGGATTGAGTTGGATTATGTGATCGATATTTGAGAGGAAAGTTTTACAAAACACACCCTCTTAAGCTATGATATTTCACTCTATTGGAACATGGATAGACAGAAACAATCATATAGAGAGACTGGTGCTTGGCGTTTCTCAAGGCAAGAACTATTATAAGGAGGATTCGTTTTTCCAAATTCGAGGTAACTCCAATCCTTAATCAGGGTATTCATTATGATTTATGGTTTAAAGTATGGACCAATACCGACTCGATACCTTTCCTTTCAAGAATGGCATAAAATCATAAGATCTTGAGTTTCATTCCCATCATCTTCGTTTGGTCTTTCGTTTNCGACTCGATACCTTTCCTTTCAAGAATGGCATAAAATCATAAGATCTTGAGTTTCATTCCCATCATCTTCTTTTGGTCTTTCGTTTGAACGGTGTACTCTTTGTCAAAGGGCTGATTCTTTATAACCCGTTTTGCTCATAAGTAAGTGTGAACAAGTACGCGTGAACAGCATTTTTGGAACATTATTTAAGTCAAAATTGAGGTTTGTGGCCTTTCTACTTCCATATCTTCAACTTCCCTCTAGGTCTGGAGTCCACATTTTCTAAATTTGAATGATGACAACTCCTAATATAAACCAGAAGTCTCACTCAATTCATAATTAACAACTCAGTCAAGTCGTTCGAGACATAGTTGTGACACCGCGAACTATCTTGCAATGCCGTGATATGGTCTTACTCTTCACCATGTTTGACTTCTTCTATCTATTATTATGTGTGTATAGTGACACCATTTCACAACACCACAACCAATGAATCTCAACACACTCTCAATCGATGGCTGATACTACAACTGTGAACCATATTATGATTTGTGTTAAAGTTATGGTTATTATACAAATTGAGCACAAAACAGATGCCGAGGGCTAGAGTTGTCATCGTCAGTACTGTCCGACAAGTCTTTGATGATAAATGTCATACCTATAAAGTACTTCAATTATAAAGATACTAACGAGGTTAGTAGGTTGGGTACGTTGAAGGATAGAGTTGGTTGAAGGTGTTAGGTGAGCTAGGGTAGCAGCTAACTTTGGCCACTGACACAGTCCATATTTGGCAAAAAAGGTCTAAAATGTAGTTTGTCCAAAGTTCAGTGGACATCCAGCCTATCAAGTCAATGTCCAACTGGACACTCCATCTACAAGGTGGCCATCCAACGGTATGCCAAATATATGCAATGGAATGCATGTGGATGTCCAGTTGTCTTGGGTGAATGCCCAGTTCTCCAGGGTGGATGTCTGGTCGACTGTGGTGGACAAATAAAGATGTATTAGCTCCCAGTATCCACAACTGATCTATAGGTGGACGTCTAGTTGCCTAAAGAGGAATGTTCGGATTGGATTGTATGACTTTTATTCGAAGAAATTAACTTAAGAGGATTAAATTCTACTAATTGGATTGACTTAAAGATAGTCATATCTTGTCTTCTAGGATTGATTGAATTTGAGGAAGACACAATAGTTTTGTTTCATTTGAGATTACTGTCAGAATTGTAGGTGCAGCCAGACTATTAATTTAATCACTATTTTGGTCACTTGGCGTCAGATACGAGCTCACCCATTTAAATTACCTCACACATTAATGGAAGGGACTAGGCTTAGGATCGAGAGGTAGTCTTACGTAGTCCTGGTCCATGGAGATGGAGACACATGATTTTGGACTTCATTGGATTTACAAAGTGCCAAGAATTGTGATATTTAATGATTAATCAGATTTGAGATTGCAATATAATCACCAATATTTGGAGTTCCATGAATTTACAAATTGCTGAAAATTTGGGGCTCTGTTTCCCAAGTCCTGATTGATTCCGTGCAAAGGGTGGATTTGTAGTAATGTGAGTAATGTTAACGTCATGCTTTGGATTTGGGCCATGACACTTGAGCAGTTTCTAAAGCTAATGCCAACACCAGGAATGGTGTCTGGTTGATGAGAGGACTAAACATTGAAATGCATGACTGTAAACTACCAAGAAAATCATGATGAACATAAAATGCTTTCCATCTTATAGCATAAAGAAATGAATGCAAACCTGTGCAATTGCAGAAACAACAAGAAATGGCAGAGTTGCCGAAGCCACAAATGCCAATCTCCACTCCAGTAACATCCCAATAAAAACAGCAACAATAACAGCTGCACTGTCTTGAATGAAAATGGAAAGTCGGTTGCTAAAAGCAGCACGCACAAATGTAGCATCATTTGCTAAGCGCATGGAAAAGGTGTCAGATGTGTTCTCCTCTTCATCAAACCATCCAACTTCATTGCGCAGCATTGCTGTAGATGGTTGAAAATATGCTCACAATATTTATGCCCCCACATTTAGGACAATAAAAAGGCAAATAAAAGTTAAGAATTCATTACTCAGAGAAGATGCATGTGCTAAGAACAAAATGACTCACCTGAAAACATCAGTCTCCTAACTCGCTCAGTCATTTTCTCCCCCATTATGCCGAAGTAGAAGTGCTGCAAAAAATTGGCAACAACTGTTACCACACCCATGCATGTGATGATTGTGCACCATTTGTTCACTTCATAATGTAGGTGATGCCCTTCACCATCCCTGTAATATGTTGTTACTATAAGTGCAAGAACATAAGCAAGAAGAGGATTGAAAGATCCAAATATAGCAGCACCAAAGCTTCCTAGAACTGCATAAAGCCATTCTGCAAAACTGAGCCTCACAAGCCTCCAAAAGGATGGAGGCCGCTGAAGTTTTCTCTCATTTTCCTTCAGTTCTGAACGAGAACACTTATTTTTTGAACCAGATGGCAAAAACAGTGAAATGGGGGATGCAGGGTCTGAAGCATTTGAGGTTTCTTGTTTTGCAAGACTAGCATCAATCTTAGGCAATTCCGGTAACCTTGTTTCAAACCTAGACGTTTGCTCTGGGTGTGGGATTTGATCTTTTGTAGATTCTTCATAGTCATAGGTGCCATTTGATAGCTGAATAGTATGGATCCCATTTGTTTCCTGATGAGCAGGTGATTTAACCATCTTATGAAACAGTGGTGACTCAACTATATGAGGCGGTGATGAATCTTGGAAGTCGCTCCCTGATGATGAATCATTTTTAGTTTGGTAAGCTGTTTCCTTGTAGTCCCTAGTTGAAGTCCTGGAAACAGATCCCAAAGATATCAACTGCCAAAGAAGTGGGCCAATAACATTTCACTTTGCAACAAGAAAAAATTCCAGTAAAATGGATTCAATTTATTAACTGTTAATTTAGGTACAGCATACAAAAAACAAGTAGGTGACACAACATTGTCAGATATGATATAACATGCCATGGGTAAGAATATGAGACGTCTCAGAGACATCATAGAACACACGCCAGCTAAGCATATCTGACAAAGAGGACAGAGGGTAAAACCACCAGAGACTGCCTAGGATCCTTCATTAATGTGTTGTTTTGTACTGCTCTTTATGAATACTGCAAATTAAGCAAGTATACTCAGTTTGAACACAATTTGTATTACAGAAGCACTATCATAATCTAGGTTAGCAGGTTGAATGCTAAACAATAACAAACCGTTTGANAATACTGCAAATTAAGCAAGTATACTCAGTTTGAACACAATTTGTATTACAGATGCACTATCATAATCTAGGTTAGCAGGTTGAATGCTAAACAATAACAAACCGTTTGACAATTCACGAGTTTCCATGTCCAAAGAATTAGGATAGGTTGACTCTGACTGGTCGACACACTGCACCGGACACATACACACTATCTTCAGCATGGGCATCAGTTAATGCACAATATATACCTTTTAGGAACTTCCGCTTCTTCACACCTAAAGAGCTCTGCATATTGTCCACCCAAGGTTAACAGTTCATCATGTGAACCCATTTCAACAAGTTGGCCCTCCTCCATAACAGCAATATAATCTGAAGTCCTTATAAGGCTTAGCTTTCGAGCTATCATAACAGTTGATCGCCCCAACATAATGGAATCTAGAGCCTCCAGAACAGCCCTTTCTGCTTCAGAATCGAGACTTCCCGTAACTTCATTAAGCAGGAGAAATGAAGGGTTCAAAAGCACTGCCCTGGCAAGAGAAATTTTTATTTTCTGTTCTTCAGTCAGTGATAATCCAGCTCTACCCACCTGAAATGCATTAACATGAAGTAAAAGCATCAATGAAAAAAGTATCATAAGCATATTGTGGGTTCAAGATGATTTTCAGTGCTTTTGACCTGTGTTTCATATCCTTTTTCGAGAGAGCTGATATAGGCATGCAAATGCGCTATCTTAGCAGCTTCTTCAATCTGATCTGTACTAACATCAGCTCGTCCATAAGCAATGTTATCCCTCACGTTCAGGCTCAGTAAGGCAGGTTCCCGGGTTACTAGTCCAATTTGGTTCCTTAACCATTCTAGTTTCAGGCTTCTAATATTTTCTCCATCCAAAAGCACTTCTCCTGCACCATAAAAGAGAAAACCAGTCAAGTTTCAAAACATAGGGAGAAGAGAGTAATACAATTCTTGCAGTTGCAGCAAGCATCCAAGAGGAAGATGAAATCTAAAATCTGAAAATTGCAACTTGAGAAAATGCAGTACCTAAAGTGGGCTCATAAAACCGTTCCATGAGCGGAAATACACTACTTTTTCCTGATCCATTCCTGCCGACAAGTGCCACGGTTTTCTTAGTGGGTACAATAAGGCAAAACCCGCGTAAGATAGGTATTTCAGGACGACAGGGATAACTGAAATAAACATTCCGGAACTCGATGTCTCCTCGTATAGAAGCTAAGATATTTCCATCCTCATTAGGAGTAAAGCTTGAATGGCTGATCATCTCATAAAGTCTATAAGCAGCAATTCGCCCTTGTTCAAAGGAATAAAAGTTGGTTGCTGCTTGGTTCAACCCACTACAAACAACATTGGGATAAATGATGGAGAGAAAGGGAGAGGGAGAGAGAGAGAGTACACAAAAGGAAGGGAATGGGGTGCTTACAGGCCACTTAAAATTATAGCAAAAAGAGCTACGATTATTTCACCACCACTGGCTTTTCCGCGTGAAACTAGGAACCTTCCAACCCAAAGTTGTAAGGCACATGAAAATATTGCAAGTCCATACGTGAACCCAAGACCAAGCCCTTGCACAAGGCTTATTAATATACCATATCTCAATGTTGCCTGAAGAGAAGTTGCATAAGAATACTTGGCCAATGTATCATTCGTGAATGCATATACTGTCCTAATGCAAGAAAGTGCCTGCAAAAAAGAGAAATTGTATCTAAGAAACAATGGATTTCTACAACATAGAAGCACAATAGAAGTTAATTGTTTGGGTCAAAGACTTCAACCGCTGTGTTGGTCTACCTACAACAGAATATGATTAAGAAAATTCAAGTTTGAGGCACGAAAACCAGATACATAAGCGGGGGGGGGGGAGGTTGGATAGGAAAAAGAAGATGAAAAACAATTTGCTCCATCCCAGAAAAAAAAAATTCATCACTGAAAAGCAGAAAGTCCATGTCTCGGGTGATAGGGCTATGAGAGGAGACGATAAAATTTAAAAGTGTTCTCAAAATACTTAAGTTCTATGGTGATAAACAGCAGTATGATTCATTTTTGTAGGATGTGGGGTACGACGATGTGAAGTTGACGCAGGCAGCACAGCTGACACTTATTTACTTGGCCAAAGCATATGGGAAAGAAGAGAATATAGGTAGCAAAAAAATAAGAATAACTAAAGCAAGGGTAAGGATGTCTATCACTTGCCTCTTCCAGACCACACTATAGGTGGGAGTCTTGTGCACCAAGTCCAACGACAAAAAAAAGAGTATCCAGACCTTTCTTTGATTCTGGTGTATAGAGAGGCGGCTCAAGAGAATGTGGTCAGTCTCTAGGAGCAGTTTTGGCTCCAGATATTGCAGATCTTAAAATTTTAGCTTAAGCATGGAATAGAATTCAATTTTACAGATTGGTTGGAGTGGAAGGAACAAGGGAGGAAAATCAATTTTACAGTGAGATCTTTTCACACCCAGCTGTTTCGTGGGGAGGAATAAGTCAAGTATTCCTCACATCAACTTAAGACCATTTGTAGCGATTTACACTAGTGTAAAATTTTCCATTGATCAGTACTAAAAACTCTCTACCTATCAACAAAATACGAAAAATTTGTGCAGTTTAGAGGGTATTTTTAATTTACAATGTGGACGAAGATGATTACTAATCTCCAAAGAAGTGATTTAATAGCTACTTAGTATATAATTATTGCCCTCATTAGTTGAGTAGAGCTTTTTTCTTACTGCCTTTGTATGACACTGCAATCTGCAAATGGCAAGGTCAACACGTATCCCTAAGTAAAACTAGAATTATAATTTCATCCGCGAGCATCACTTACAAATGTGATCCAATAAGCTTACCTAAAACAGTAAATGCAAGAAGCACAAAACTTGAATCTGTATTCAAAGAATTAAGGAAAAAAATTCCCTGGAGAAGACAGAAGAATCTCTTCCTAACCTGCTCAGCAGTGCTTGCTGCCTCAGCATAAGCATCTTGAATGCTGTCTGCAAGTCTGTGGAGAAAAATATTCGACATTCCCCCTCCAGCAAGAATGAATGGACCAGTGGCTAGTGTTATTAGGGCAATCTGCCAACAGCTGGCAAATCCAATGACAAGTCCACTGAAAAATGTTGACATGTTGTGAATATAATTCCCAACCTGACAAGGTAAAGCAGATCTTTTATGGCCACAACCAACAAGACAGTGAAAGTGATGAAGCAAACCTAAAGTGACTTCACGACAACAATAATTATAACAATGAAAATTCAACAAAAAACTAATTAGCAAAGTGTAATTTGTACAGTCCATACACAAAGCATAATTAGTCCAGTCCAAAACTTACTTTTTCACTAAGAGCGGACTGAATGATTAGCACATCGCTTAAAACTTGGCTCACAATGTCCCCGTTGTTCCCATATGAATCAAAAAAGCTCATGTCCTGGTTAAGTAATACTTGGACATACTTTGACCTAATGACAGCAGTCTGCCTTTCCCCAGTAAGAATCCAGCACAAAACCTCTATCACATAAATGGAAGTAACATTAAAACATCAAAAAGCTTCAAATACAGAATGACGGCATGAAAAGAAGCAACTAAAATTGAGTCTTACCTATCCAACCTGCAGCAAAAGCACCCAAAGCCATATAAATAATATACCAAGCGTGCTGCACGATAAACGAATACAAAGTTCAATTGTCTGCACCTGGAAGAAAGAAAGCAACAAAATTGGCCACATACTATGCTATCTAGATATCATGAAGTAGAAGAGTTTTCTTTTCAATAACCTGTTCCAAGACTCAAAGGGACACAGTTCTTTAAAAAGTATGAAAAAGGCTATGACAATGTATACTTGTATCTATTGCCTATCTTGCGGGATTGGAATATATAAACAAGAAATGCAAGCGGGTCCAAGACACCAAAATGGCCATTAATTTGATGCCCTTGCTTTACCTTCACCAAATATTTCACACAAGTATGATCATAGTATATTGGTGTTAATATAGCTATGGGAACAATACATTAAAACATTTTTAAAAGTAGGCGCAAGCAGTGGGAATTTTCTACAAGTCACAATAACATGATATGTACACAACAAAAAGTTAAGGGGTCATTGTTGATAATAACTTGGCCAGAACCCAAAAATGACACGACCAGCTAGCTCATATTATAAATGACTTAACTCCAAAACAAATAACTCGTTTTGACATGACAAACTCCTTTAGTTAGCACTGTTGAGAGAGAAGGCATTCTAATCATTTCATTTGTGATTTGATATTTATGTGGATAATTGTAAGATTATAAAGCTTTTTACTTCGGCTTGCCAGTATCGAAACCACCTGAATTGTTATTTTATGGAGCCTATGAATTGTGCATCTTGTTAAAATAGAAATGATTCCTAGTCCTGGAATCCTGTTTTAGGCGTTTAGATGCGAAACTACACAATTGATGCAAGATTTGGGTTAGTATAAAATATTAAGTCATGAATAATTAAAACAAGTCGGGTTAGAACTGAAAAAAAACTATATATCCATTACATATTTAATTATTCACATTGCACAGGAGCGAGCGATATGTATTACTAATGTCATTTACTAGTGGAAGAAAGCAGAACAAGGTTGTCAAAAAACCACCTGAGTGAACTTCTGAAACAATTCATCCGATCCTAGTGAACGATCAAAGCTCAGCAAATGTATAATCTTCCCGAACAAATACAAATACACCACAATCGCCGCCCCATGGGCCGCCGCAGCCAACGACCCAACAACTATTCTGAGCCCAATCAACTCCGTCGGCACAAGCAAACAGCCCCAAAAATGGCACGGCGGCCGGTGGTGGTTCCGCCTCGTCCTCAATTTCCTCTTCATCATCTGCTGGGCCCACCGCCTCAATGCCCGGCTCTACGTACGCAAAAGGTGATTCAGGCGGCTCCGACACCTCCGAGACCGGAGTTAATGGCTGCATGTGAGGCGGAGACCAACCAAAGACACCTCTGGCTGACATTGTCTTCAAGAATTCCGAGTAAAACCCTAAACCCTAATTTCATGCAAATGTCTGGAATCGGAAAAGATTGAATCTTTAAGGCATAATTGGGGTGGGTGGGTGGAGTGAGGAATTGTCGTTTCAGAACCTCTCTCTTCGAATGGCTTTATCTGATTTTTATTGGGTAATCAATGGTGAAGAATCGGTATATATATATATTATGTTGAACAGGCTGGGTTTTGGTATTCGTCTACTTCTTCCTCTGTACATGCCCCTCTATGTCTCTCTCTCTCTCTCTCTCTCTCTCAAATGAACGTCGTCTTCTTTGGTGCCTTTTNTATTATGTTGAACAGGCTGGGTTTTGGTATTCGTCTACTTCTTCCTCTGTACATGCCCCTCTCTCTCTCTCTCTCTCTCTCTCTCTCTCTCTCTCAAATGAACGTCGTCTTCTTTGGTGCCTTTTTTTTGTCGTTTACATCTCTCTCTCCCTCTGCATTGCTGGTGTCTTGAGGAGCCGGTTTTTGGCGGTTCTGTAGTCTTTGGGTGATGGGCGTTAAGAGCAAAGAGGCAACTACAATTTGGTCGTTGGAANTTTTTTGTCGTTTACATCTCTCTCTCCCTCTGCATTGCTGGTGTCTTGAGGAGCCGGTTTTTGGCGGTTCTGTAGTCTTTGGGTGATGGGCGTTAAGAGCAAAGAGGCAACTACAATTTGGTCGTTGGAAAGGTTTGAAATTGAATACGGGTGGTTGCATCGACTATCGACCAGATGGGTGTGTTAAGCAATTTCCTTATTTCCCTTTAAGACCCCTCCAGTAGGAGAAAATTTCAATTACACCTTTTTCAATTGATCATATCTTCAAGAACATTCTTTTATTTTTTGAATCTTGTGTTAATTAGAATAAAATTTTACTAAATTCTTCATAATATATTTTAGAAAAAATTNAACATTCTTTTATTTTTTGAATCTTGTGTTAATTAGAATAAAATTTTACTAAATTCTTCATAATATATTTTAGAAAAAATTTCATCCACACCCCCACTAGATAGACATATATTTAATGAGACCCCCTCTATTTTTAAAAATTTTTTACGTATTAAAATTAGGGTTAATTAAAATTTGATTCAACCTAATTAAAATTTATTTTTTTTATATTAAAATTTGAGTTGATTAAAAATTATAATTTTTTTTACGTATTAAAATTTGAGATGATTAAAATTCTATGCGAGACTCAAATCAAATTTTAATCAACTCGCATTAAATTTTAATCTGCACGAATTTTGATACATGAAAAATATAAATTTTAATTGAATCAAATTTTAATACGTAAAAAAATTTTAAATCAATTTGAATCAAAATTTAATAAATAAAAAAATATAAATTTTAATCAATTCGAAGCGAATTTTAATCTGGACTTATTGCTTGAGTAGAGCTCAAATCAGTCTTAATTTTAATACGTAAAAAATAAAATTTAATTAGCTTGAATCAAATTTTAATCAACTCAAATTTTAATATGCAGAAAAATTAATTTTAATTGACTCAATTTTTAATCAAATTTTATGTAGAAAGATTGTTTAGGATTTATATAGGATCAATTCTAGTATTTTAAATAACTTATTTCTGTTATAAATGATGGTTTAATAATAGGGGTACCAAATATGTTTAAATATAAATTAGACAGGGTGCCAATAATTTTTTTGATAATAGAGGGGTGTGAGGATACGGTAAACAAGAAAATTTTCCCTTATATAAAACATCACTGATAATGTTTTTAATTTATATTTAAACATCACTGAAACCCCCTTGTCATTCCTTTAAACCATCATTTCTAACAAAAAAACTCATCTACAATATTAAAATTGTCTGTATCTAAACCCCAAAAAAATTTTCTACATAAATTTTGATTAAAATTCAACCCGATCAAAATTTGTTTTTTTATATATTAAACCTCGATTTGAGCTAGTTAAAAAAAAAAATTTACGTATTAAAATTCAAGCTCAACCTATCCGACTAAAATTCTATTAAAATTCAAGTCAATTATTTTTTGGATTGTACTTGTTTACTTATTAAAATTCAAACCAATAAAAATTTGATTCAAACTGATTAAAATTCATTTTTTACGTATTAAAATTTGAATCGATCAAAATTTATATATTTTATGTATCAAAATCCAGACCAGTTAAAAATCCAATTCGAGTTGATTAAAACTCGATTCAAGCCGATTAATTTTAATCAGCTCAAATTTTAATGTAAAAAAATATAATTTTTAATCGATTCAAATTTTAATATATATATAAAAAATAAATTTTAATTAGTTCGAATTGAATTTTAATCTATCCAAATTTTAATACGTAAAAAAATTCAAAAAAATAGAGATTCTATTGAAGATATATCTATTTACAGGAAATATCAATAATAATTACCCAAGTAATTATATAAAGAGGTTGACCCACATCAATCACCAAGCGAATGATCTTCGCTTTGCAAGAACAACAAAAACCACCATCTTGTTTTTTCCTTTCTTCGGTGTTACCTTTTTCTTTCCAAAGGATGGGAGTCAAAAATAAAGTCAAGTCAGTCAGATTCGAACTACTCAGACTGTTTAACAGTCCTAATTAGTTACATCAAGTAGATCGATGTGTACGTAAAACTCATCCGATACTTTTTTATCTATTTTATTTCTTTGCAAATCATNCAGTCCTAATTAGTTACATCAAGTAGATCGATGTGTACGTAAAACTCATCCGATACTTTTTTATCTATTTTATTTCTTTGCAAATCATTCGCTATTAAAAATTATGGGACTCACTAGTACGAAGAAATCCCACTTGAATTGACCATATGCGATACAATAAATAGAAAAATAGAAAANTAATAAATAAAAAAATATAAATTTTAATCAATTCGAAGCGAATTTTAATCTGGACTAATTGCTTGAGTAGAGCTCAAATCGGTCTTAATTTTAATACGTAAAAAATAAAATTTAATTAGCTTGAATCAAATTTTAATCAACTCAAATTTTAATACGCAGAAAAATTAATTTTAATTGACTCAATTTTTAATCAAATTTTATGTAGAAAGATTGTTTAGGGTTTATATAGGATCAATTCTAGTATTTTAAATAATTTATTTTTGTTATAAATGATGGTTTAATAACAGGGGTACCAAATATGTTTAAATATAAATTAGACAGGGTGCCAATAATTTTTTTGATAATAGAGGGGTGTCCTGAGGATATGGTAAACAAGAAAATTTTCCCTTATATAAAACATCACTTATAATGCTTTTAATTTATATTTAAACATCACCGAAACCCCCTTGTCATTCCTTTAAACCACCATTTCTAACAAAAAAATTCAACTAAAATATTAAAATTGTCCGTATCTAAACCCCAAAAAACTTTTCTACATAAATTTTGATTAAAATTCAACCCGATCAAAATTTGTTTTTTTATATATTAAACCTCGATTTGAGCTAGTTAAAAAAAAATTTACATATTAAAATTCGAGCTCAACTTGATCTGACTAAAATTCTATTAAAATTCAAGTCAATTATTTTTTGGATTGTACTTGTTTACTTATTAAAATTCAAACCAAAAAAAATTCGATTCAAACTGATTAAAATTTATTTTTTACGTATTAAAATTTGAATCGATCAAAATTTATATATTTTATGTATCAAAATCCAGACCAGTTAAAATCCAATTCGAGTTGATTAAAACTCGATTCGAGCCGATTAATTTTAATCAGCTCAAATTTTAATATATATAAAAAATAAATTTTAATTAGTTCGAATTGAATTTTAATCTACCCAAATTTTAATATGTAAAAAAATTCAAAAAAATAGAGATTCTATTGAAGATATGTCTATTTACAGAAAATATCAATAATAATTACCCAAGTAATTATATAAAGAGATTGACCCACATCAATCACCAAGCGAATGATCTTCGCTTTGCAAGATCAACAAAAACCACCATCTTGCTTTTTCCTTTCTTCAGTGTTACCTTTTTCTTTCCAAAGGATGGGAGTCAAAAATAAAGTCAAGTCAGTCAGATTCGAACTACTCAGACTGTTTAACGGTCCTAATTAGTTGCATCAAGTTGATTAATGTGTACGTAAAACTCATCCGATACTTTTTTATCTATTTTATTTCTTTGCANCGGTCCTAATTAGTTGCATCAAGTTGATTAATGTGTACGTAAAACTCATCCGATACTTTTTTATCTATTTTATTTCTTTGCAAATCATTCACTATTAAAAATTATGGGACTCACTAGTACCAAGAAATCCCACTTGAATTGACCATATGCGATACAATAAATAGAAAAATAGAAAAAAAAATGAATCGAAAGAAATCTTACTCCAAACTAACCTTCCACAATTCACCATCGCACAACCTGAATGCGAGTCTAGGTAAATGGACTTGCGAACAATAAGTTGTGGAAGCAACAACTTTCACAAGTGTCATGTGCCAACTTTAAATTTTCTTTATTTTTTTTTTTTTTAGTTCAAGAGTCAGAGGTGTCTATATCAACTTACGCGCACTTTAGCTAATTTTTCCTTTGTTCGATTAAAAGCANTTTTTTTTTTTTAGTTCAAGAGTCAGAGGTGTCTATATCAACTTACGCGCACTTTAGCTAATTTTTCCTTTGTTCGATTAAAAGCAGATCATCCACGTTGAAACTAGGATATTCATGAAAGATAAATCTCAAACCCAAGGAATTGCTAAAATTCGAATTCAGGACGCCTGAATGTATAANCAGATCATCCACGTTGAAACTAGGATATTCATGAAAGATAAATCTCAAACCCAAGGAGTTGCTAAAATTCGAATTCGGGACGCCTGAATGTACAGCTCATTTTTGTTATCATTTAAGCTATATTTTGGGGTTACAACTATAAAACTGTCTCACTATGCATTGTTGGAGTGGATTGATTTCATGAACTTAGTGTTATACATATAATCATTCAGTTTAATGTACACACATATCTGTCTCTATTCCAATTTGGTGCAACTTTGC